TTTTTTTTTTTTAGCAACTAGCAATAAAAAAATTTAATGTGTTAAAAAGCTTGATGTTTGCACCATTGTATTAATGTCATATCTCTAAAATTTTAAAAGATATTTTAAAAGATATATATAAGAAAGAAATTAAATCAAATTTGTTTATATCACTTGCTTATGTGACATTATGTATATATATATATTTTTTTTTGTTGTTGTAAAAAAAAATCTAAATCTTCCAGCTTACATTAAACTTTGTAAATTCAAAAATAAAGAATAATAATTATTCGTGAACTAATATTTACGTAATAGACCGATAGTTTTGACTAACAAATAATACATTCAACCGTTTCTTGCTTAATATTTTCTCTTGTACATACAAATACATATGATTGATGAAATAGTCTTGAATATACGATACACCCACAAACAAATGAAACATTGTTACAATATGCTACAAACATATTTGAAAAATTTGCATTGGTTAAGAATCTAAGTAAGATGGAAATTGAGAAAGGACATAGCACCGAAACGCGTAAAAAGATAGCAAATGGCAATGGTAGGACATAGATGAGAGTATGAGACATGATATGAGGGAGGGGGTAGGTCCAATAATAATATGATATTGTTACTACGTACTACGACTGAGTACATCCTAAATCCAAATCCATCATATTAACGGCTTTTTTTTCTTTGACCACCACTTCCATTTTAACTGTCTCACTAATGCTATGCCCATGCATAATACCATTTTTACATAACCGTGTGGGTCCCACTTTCGATTATACTATCTCCGTTACATGTTATGTGCAACGATTAGACATTTTTCCTCTCTACTTTATGTCAAATCGTTGCACATAACCTGCAACGGAGGTAGTAAATATTTTATCCAAATTTTTTACATATGGTTTCCAATAAATATTGCTCCCCAAATTTATTTTTTTTAATTAATACTTCCTCATTTTCTTTTTACTATTTTTAATGTTATGTTAATCAATGTATTAATTTAAGCAGTAATATATTAAATTATTAAATCCGTAAAAATTATAGAAAGTTGATATTATGAGAGAATGTATCTGTTGAAGAATAAATCTCTCAATTGTCAGCACATGTAAGTATCCAAAATTATTGGTTGAAGAAGAGAGAGTTAAACACATTATAAGGCTAAGGGGTACTCCTCCTATTGCCATATGGTTTTGGGATGAAACTTCATTTGATCTTGTGAAATGAACTCTCTCTCTTAGTTTGCAGGTGCGGCCCAGACCCGCGTTTAACAGTATCGAACATTGCATGGTGTCTCAAGCAACTAAAAAAAAGAGAGTATAAATCGAAGCAAATTTTACTAAATTATAAAAAGCTTGGTGATGCACATTCCTCATAAGTAAATTAGTATTCATCTTAAAAAAAAGAACCGTAACGCAAGATAGCACAAGCAACATTAATCCTACAAAGTAGTATCAATAATAGTCATAGAATGCTTGACTTAAAACTTAATGGAGAGCGTTCAACTTTAGATTTCACGAGGCTTCTCTTCAATTTTGCCATTATATCCTACTAAATAAATTCGACATAAAAAATGATCTGATTAATGATCATTGTACTCTAGCTTGAATGAAAATAAAAGAATCCTATCCAATCAAAATCACTCCGACTCTAAAGAAATATTTTCAAAATGACTTGCTTGTTACCTCTACATCAAATATAACTTACGAACATCAATAATACATGCATGTGTGTCAAGACTCTTAGACTCTTAGGGTTTGTTATGATTTACAAAGCTGAACTTAACTGAATTGTTTGGAACTGAACTTAATATTTTATGAGAAAAGAAAATTAGAAACTAAAGTGAATTGATTAGAGCTGAACTTAAAATAATCTGAAAAGAACAGACCCTTAGACTCTTAGGGCCCGTTCTCATACACTGAACTCAGTTGAACTGAACTGAATTGAGCTGATCAGCTAAGCTGAGCTGAACTAAACTAAATTGAAATGAAATGAGTATTTTATAAGAGAAGGAAATTAGGAACTGAATTGAACTGAATTGAAATGAAATGAAAATAAAGAACAGACCCTTAGTGTGTGTTATAGTTTATGGCTTTATGCCCCTTTGTTTTATGGTCGAAGCAACTGTCACTAGGTTGTTGGGCTGTTTCATGTGATGGGCCTACTTAGGTGGACTTTTTTTTTGTTCTGGGCCTGTAATTATATGTAGTTATGTTGATAGGCTACCCCCTTATATGGCCCAAAGGCCACACTTGTTGGCAATTTATACTTCCCCGTTTCATAAAAAATGATTATATTTCACTTGTATAATAATTTTGACTGTCAAAATTTTAAATATGTATTAGTAAATAGTCTAAATACTATAAAAATATAACATTTTAATAATATATTTATATTCATCAAGATAAATCTTAAACATGTTACTTATTAAAAGTGACATTTTACGTAATATTTTATATAATAGCAATTAGCAAACATGATATTCATGATAAATGACAAAGTGTATAAATCATTAATTATTAATTTATTATGCAACATAAAGGGAGTAATTGTATGGGAGGATACCGATATCTATTCATGTATAGTCTAAACGGGTTCGGGTTTATAATCATAAAACCCATATCGATAACATCACATAATGACATTGATATCGACATCTCTTAAGACTCAGCACGTGGCGTTGATAAATCGACACTTGGCATAAAGTGGTTTGCATGGCATGCAACCACCTGGCAGTTGAAGTCACTATAAATAGGTAAGATATCTAAATTGAAGGGTAGCATTTATTTTTCTTTCTCTCTTCTTTACCCCTATCTCTCTCTTCATATCATCTCTTCTTTCTCTTAAACACTTTCTAACTTTATCATCGGATTGGTTATCCCCGGATTCACCCCGAGGTTAGCTAATCCTCATTTCCTGTGTAGGTGCTTAGCCAGGTGATGGGGTTTTCACGGATCTCGAATACGAGCTGTCGGATCTGAACTGGAACAGTAATAATTATCGACCTTGTTGTGACAATATTGTTCTTAATGTAGGTTATATTCACCCGACTATTCACTAATATGATCTTAACAAAACCAAGATATTTTTTCTTTGAATTTATATACTTGACAAACCTCTATTTCTCTTAAAGTTAATTTATTTGCATTTTTTTTTTTACTAAACGACAAGTTTTTTGATCGACCAACCACATGATGTGGCCATATTGGTTTATAAGAGTAATTTTTTATTTTGTGAAGTGACTGCACATAATTGTGTTTTGCAAATTGATACTTTATTATTTTTTTTTTTTTTTACTAAAACATGCTCAAGTCATTAAACTATCATAGAGTGTACCTATAAAATTGCAATGCACCCTAAAAATTAGTGTAAAGCATAATATTAGTTCAATCGATCATAAAAGTGTCCTCAACTAATTTTATTCGATTCATGTAAAATAAAACTTATCAATAATTTTAGTCGGAAAACCATAAATATTCAAATAAGATAATATGACTAAAACTTCTATTTTTAGTATACTTATTACTATCCTTGACCCCTTTTAGTGTTTTACATGCTCAACTTCTTATAATGGTACACTCTATTTCTATCCCAATTTATCTCTCACAGCCAAAATTGGCTATTAAGGGGAAAACAACCACTTGGATCCTACATCTTTAAAATAAAATTTAAAAAATAATTAGACAGGTATTTTAGGGGTTCTTTGTTTAACCTTTTGCTCCGAGCCTCAAATATGTTTGAGAATGCCATAGGCTATAGCCATATGCACAAAATTATGCAAGTGAAAGAACATGCTCGTTAACTTCTAGAGTCAAGTCGAATTCGAATTGAGCCAACTCAAGTCGAGTTTTGACCAAGCTTTAACCAAGTCTAGATTGAGTTGCTCGTGAGCTGCTCAACTCGACTAACACCCCTAAGTGAGACATACCTCTTTTGAGTAAGATCAGAACAAACACATGTCATTTCAACATAGCAAATGAGACCTAACTATTACGAGTAACATTAAACCATACAAGTTTTATTTCAAGAAAACAGATAAGACCCAACTCTTTTGAGTAACACGTGTTATTTCAAGAGAGCGAATTAGACTCGTTTCTTTTATACTTGCTCCTTAACGTTTCTATTTAGTAATTAAGTTTCATTTAGACCGGTCAAATTTTATTTAATACAACTCTATTATTTACATTACCAAGTCCGAAAGCATTATTTTTGTGTCCAATTACGACATATCAATTTAGATTATTTCAATTCAAAAGAACGAGACGGGTAATAAAATCAATTTTCTCCCAAAGAGAGAGGGGTGAAATGCTGCATCTCCTTGCCTAAACCCCACAGAATTGGCTCGTTGGTTCTATCAAGTTCAACAACGCCGCTGTTCTGGAGTTGTCTCTTGCCCCTCTTTACTTAGTATCTGCCCTCCTCTAGCTAAAGGTACCACCTTTTTGCTCTAAATCACTCAATTTTATTTTTTGTTTTCAATTTTGCAAACCATTTGCTTTGTTAATTTCTGTTCATTTTGTTTTATGGGATTTTCCAATTTCAGTTAATTTTGTCACTGTAATTTGTAACTGAAGGTTTTAGTTAAGGTTTAGGTAACCCTGAATTCTGTGTGAATGTTTACAGAATATATGTTTTTGTTGTAATTCTATTTAGAATAATTTATGCATTTTGATTTGGGTTCTTTTTTGCATGCTTAATTTTATAATTTGAGAAGTTGTGACTTCCTTGTTGTTGTTATTTTGTTGGATGATATCTATATTATTTACTCCCTTTGTCCCAATTAAATGGATCGTCATTTTTTCCTTTTATGTCCGTTCCAATTTAATTTAATTTAAGTTAATTAACACACTCAGATCAGTGTCTTTGCTCCAGTCTCCCTGAACCCTAGTTGGCAGCACCAACACGGGGCGGAACCTACGAGCAAAGGGTGTATCTGAAGGCTACGGCGACAGTGGCACAAGGCCATATCGAATTCAGTATTCTGAATTTCTGATTGTTTATTTGTATGTCCAATTTTCCCATTACAAGGCTGCATTTGTTTCATTTTTTTGTTTAATTATGTATGGTGATTTTAAATTTTAGATAATTAGATGGTTTTTAATGTGTGACATTGAGGTAGTTTGTAGTTCGAGTTGAAATTGATGTGAATTGAAATTGAAACCAAGATAGATATCATTGAAATTGATTTTTTTTTTTTTTTTTTTTCCATTTTTGGATAGATGTCAATGTGTCATATATGAACCTCATTCTTGACTATTGCATTAGTGCTCTTTACATGAATTATTTAGATGATTTTTATTATTGGACTCTTCATTTCAAAAATCGAGTCCTTTCAGTTACCCGGACTCTTCATTTCACCTTAAGTACCCGTGTCGGACCCTCGACACTCAAATGTAGGTAGGACACTTAGACAATTCATTTTAGTTCAAAATTTGGAAAATAGCCGAGTCGAACACCATGCGTACTGGAATCTGAGTAACATAGCTTTCATGCAAGTCCTCCGAATATGTAGATCAACTATATCCAACAATTTTGTTTATTTTAAAAATCTTTAATCTCTTATTACATTTAATAATCTGGTGCATCAACTAGTTTTTATATCAAAAGGGTTTCAAAACATAGTGTGAGGATTGCTTTATGAGAAGGAAGGCTTTTTTCTCTTTACTGGGCGTGATTATGCTCAATAAATGATGTACATTAGTTGCTTTGAGCCCATGGAACATGATTTATTTAAAAAATTATGTATCATGTGGATAAAAGTTTTGATTTTTATAAACAAGAAGCTTTCCCAATTAATGTCCGACAATGATGGTTTCTTTTCTCTTGAAGATGATTCACTTGCTGGATTGTATTTGTTTAAGATATGCATATTGGTTTCACTTTAAGGCTATGTTTGGATAACAAAAAATGGAAGGAAAGGAAGGGAAGGGAAAGGGAGGGAGACAAACTTCCTTGTTTGGATAATATGTTGGGGGAGGGAAGGGGAGGGGGAGGAGGGATCCATTTTCCCTCCTCCTTTAATAAAGACCATCCCTTCAAAATTGGAGAGATTTGGAGGGAAAATGGAGCTCATCATTTCCTCCACTTTTCCTTCCTTTCCCTTCCTCCTATTTCCCTCCCTTCCATTTCCCTTCTAATTTGTTATCCAAACATAGCATAAAAGTATATCATGTTTACTCTATTTTGATTTCCTGTGAGAAGCCGGAGGGAATTGTTGCTGCCTATTTGTCAATCAATTGACTTCCATACTCTTTAAAATTTAGTTAGGATGCATTGAGATTTATGAGGAGAATTGTCATAATAATTTTGTCTCAATGTGTCATATGAATAGATTATGCACCTTTCTTTCTTGTACAACTAAAGCAAAAGCAAACCTGAGGATGGTTACTGAATTGAGATAATGATGCTGTTTCGTGTGCTGTTCCTTAAGCATATTGTGTGTGAGTTCTGGTATCTTTTTTGTTTTTAATGCTGGCGAATGCTACTCTTTATGTGGTGAGTTTCTCATTCTGAAAACATTTTGTTGACCATGGCTATCTTTTGCTGCAGTGTGGACATGCTGTTGCTGTGCTAACATTCTAAGCTGGGCCGTTCACCGTAATCTTTCTGGAAAATAAGTAATGTCGGATACTGAGAAGACTAATAAAATGTGGAGTCCAAAGCCTGTTGAACACGGGGACTCTGAGGCTGCCAAGCTTTGTATGGTTCTTCATGATTGCAAGCAATCTGTCGAGGATTCTTTGCAGCAGACCATCAGGACAAAGAAGCTTAAACATGGAAAATTCAAGGGTCATGATGGGAATTATGTAAGGCTCGGCCCTTGTTTCAAACCTGAAAAGGTTGATAAAGTGCTCAAATCACTTAAGGACTGTTTTCCGACTGAATTTACCAAGCCGCCCTTTTTGAATGAGCCAGAGAAGCTAAAGTGTGATTGGGTGAAAAGCTCAGGCAAGCCAGTCAATGGTTGGACTTCTACCATTGACACTCGAAAATGGTTCAATCGACTTTCTAGCAAGCACAATAAGTGGAGGAAGATGCGTATTTATGAGTTTTTAAGGCTCTCTACATATCCTGCTTTGCCATTTTATGGTGCTTTGACTCTGGGATTACTATGTTGTTGGAACCCCTGCCTCAATGTGTTTGTCACTGGTCAAGGTTTTAAAACTATCACACTTGAGGACATAGCTTTTCTTACTGGGTTGTCTCCTGCTGGTATAGACCTCCCCACTCAAGTTCTAATAGATGGAGCTCTTGACATGGAGAAGATTACGCCATGGAAGAACAAAACAAACATGTCATATAGCTCCATTGTGGATTTTTATAACCCTGATAAGAATAAAAATCTTGAAGCTGATATCTCTAGGAAAGAAGAGGTATTGTTTATCAACCTTGCTTTATGTAAATTGATGATGTTTCCTTCTTGCAATGTCAATAAAACTTTCTTGAAGCTTGCGGCAAATATTGAGGCTTCAGGACACGATCAAAAGGGAATTAAATCCTTGTGTCTTGCCCCTCTGTTCCTGGGACAAGTGTATCGATGTCTTTATCGACTTCGAACCCATGAGAAGCTTTCTACTGCTGGTGGCCCTATATGGGTCATATCTATGTGGGGACTTTTTTACTTCCCTCGTCTTGTTGAACATAAAGATGACGAAGAACTGAAAGCGGACTTTGACAAGCCTGCAGTTCTTCCTGTCCAAGAATGTTGCTGCTATGGGGAGTTGGCTATTCATACCAATTCTCCAGTGGTACATCTAGCATTTGAAGAAGTCTTACGGGGACTTTTGTTCCCCAGGCAGGCAAATCAATCTGATTGGCATCCTTTTTCTGGTGAGGACGAAATGGATATTTCATTAGAGGTAAAATCTAGGGAGGATACATTAGGGCAATGCATGAAGGCAGCAACCCCAATTTGGCTTTTAGAGATATCTTGCATGATGATCCGTGAAGAGGATGAATCGCATTGGTCATCAATTTTGTTACCTCGAGACCTCATCTGCCTCGAACCACAAGTTATTGGCATTGAAGTCTATAATCCCAATCTTGTGGCTCGTCAATTTGGAATGACTCAAGGTCTGGGCATCCCCTACTATAAGACCTTAAATCGTCCTTGGGGAACCAGACCCAATCTCTTGGACATGGCCTTGAAACCAGCGGACAACAAGTTTGCCTTCACTGAGAAATGGCTGAAGTCTTTCCCTACCTATGAGGTAAAGACTCTTCATATCATCCCTTGGTTTAGACGGGCTGAGATAGACCCAGGTTATGAGCTCTGGTGGATTGATTTTCTCAAGAGGTGTCAGCCTTCATGGCTTGAGGCTTTTGCCACTCTTATTCGGAACATCCAAGGCCCACTAATGGTTTCTTCGCCATCAACTGGCCAAGCTATGAATCCAAGGCAAAGTAATTCACTCTTACCCATCTTACCCTTATTGCTGTCAAATACTCAAATGTCTATTTTTCTATTTCTCTTTAATTCATGAGTTTTTAATAATATTAGATAAACAAAGTCGAGCTCGATTCCCTGTTGATCCTCCTCAGACAAAATCATCGAGCCAGGTACTGTAGGATCTCTTCTACCTCCTCTGTATGTCCTTTTCCTTTATTATGAATAATTGGATATTAATTCTGATATCTATGTACTTTCTTTTAGATAGAAAAAAATGCTCGAACATCTACTGCTAAGAGGGAACTGAAAAGAAAGAGTGAAAGGATCATGGCCGCTTCCACTTCCCGGCATTCAAAGAAGGCTGTTGTGGAAGAGTCTAAAGAATGTGATGATAATACTCCCCTCAGGATTTTTAGGAGGAGGCATTCTACTGAATCTACTCCATCTTTCCAGCGTTCCCTCAGGACTATAAGAAAAAAAAGAAAATGTATGCCTTAGCTTCATCTCAAGTTTTCTTTGAATTTGTAATTTCAAACTTAATTTTCACAATTTTCTCTTTGGTGCAGACAATTATCAACCAGTAGTTTCAAGGAGTTCAAGTATTGTGCTGGCCTGTTCAAATAAACCAAAAGAAATTAACGTGAAGCAGAATAATATCTCACAAACCGTTGGCCCTGATATTTATAACGTTTCCTTGAAAGTTCTCAAGGTTCTTGAGAAGGAAGTGAAAGAGGAAGCAACCACCTCTGCTATAGAGCAGGATACTTCCCATGCTACCCAAGGTATTCCAGAATGCTTAACAAAAATAATTGCTGAAGAAATAGGATTTGAAACTGCAAGTTCTGAGCCTGAGGACTCACTTGAGCCACCTCATGAGATGGTTCGTGGTTTGGGTTCTGCTAATCTCAAGGAGACATCATCTGTTCTTTCAATGGACCTAAGTACCATCTGTTATCCCTTCTTTGTTCTTTTATTATACTTCCTGTGTCTAGACTTACTAGTCAAAGTTGCGAAATTTCCAAAAGGATGCAGTAGTTATCTTCTGTAATGGTAAAAGAACTTACCAGGGAATTCATTTTTAGCATTAGTTTAGTAAATTTATTCTTCATTCTAAAAATAAGAACAAATTTGTTATTTATCTATTTATTTATTATTTTTTTAAATGTCATTGGGATTATGTTTCTATGCCCTTCTCTCATTGTCTTCACACTTGCCTATTTTAGATAAGATGGCTTTGGAATCCCAGGAAGCCAACCTTAATAGTATCTCTCCTCAAGCTGAAGATCGCCCATCAATAGAAGTGGAGCCTGCGGGAGGCTCTGGGACGAGAGGTGCCACCACTTCAGACAATTCTCTAGCTATTGTTGTTGATGGTTCTTCCGCATTCTTGGAGATGGAGCAACCTTTTAGCCCACAAGGTATCTTTTTGAAGTTTTATAAGTAATCTATTCTCAGAATTTTCTTCTAGGAAAATTTACTGAATTCCAAACTCCAGCAGGGGTCAAGTTTTCAAACCAACTCTTATTAAGAAAATTGGTAACAAACTCCCTGAATTAGTAAACATAGTCTGCCTCCAATATTATATCATTGTGTCAATTTCTACATGAATGATGAATCACTTTTTTCATGCTTTTAATTTTGAACCAAATGCCACATGTAACCTATATGTCGAGAATGGTTCATATAAGAAGAGTATACTGTTTAATGGAAGTAGCGTTTTAGGTGTTTTCATTTATATATTTTTACTGGGTTTTGAGAATTGTACCCCTACTTCCTGATGGTTGATGGTTTATATTCATAATTCAGACCTGGGGTAGCATTTAGTTGTCCTCAACTCTGACAATGCTCTCTTTTCTTAGGGCTCTCTTACACCCCTGAAAAGGCACTTGCTGAGGTTAATTCACTTGTATGTCTCATTGAGGATACCCTTCGCCCTGCTCCTATTCCATCAGCATTTGATGTCGAAAAAGAAAATGCAGAGAAGATTCTCAATGTATTGCAAAGCAACATGGAGAACCTCACAGCATATGCTGACCTGGCAAATCAGATAAATAAACTTGCTGTTGTGTCCCCTCCACAATTTCAGCCTAATTTGGCTCATTTTCGGAACATTTTTTTATCTCTTCAAGATCAGCTGCAAGATATTTATAGAGATGGAGCTAGACAGACCTGCAATACCGACACCCTTCGTACCTTGAGCACTGCTGCCAAAGAGCTTCGAGATCGTATTCAGAATAGTCAAGAGCGAATAGACCAAATTCAAGCAGAGTGTAACAAATATGATAAGGAGATTGAAGAGCTGGAGTCAAAACTTCTCAACCTGAAGCAACTAAGAGCCAGTAAACAACAAGAGCTAGCCCTAGAGCAGCATAAATTTGCTGATTTTTCCTTGAGTTGGTCAGTTACTATTCCATCTCTTCAAATGCAGGCTAATATTATGGTTACTGCTCAACAGACGAAGGCAGAATGGGAATCTACCCTCAAAACTGTCAAGGCCAATGTCAATAGTTTTCTTGAGCTTTTAAGAACAATGTAATTTTCTTCATTAAGAGGGAAAAAAGATACAGCTATCCTCTCTGTACTTTAGTGTAGAGTATTACATTGCTGGATGTGCCAAAATGTTTGTATTATTTTATTCAAAATGTCATAATACTTTGGCCTTGTTTGGCAATTAGCGATTAGCTGTTAGTCGGTTGGATTAGCTATTAGCTAGTTGTATTAGATGATTTGACAAGTTAATTGTATCAGTTCTTTGTCTAAAAGTGTAGTGAATAACTATTAGCTGATACCTTATTGTGTGAAAAGAGAAATAAGGATATTGATTGTTTTATTGACCAACCTCGATGTAAATCATTATATTCTTAAACCTAGTTTAGAGTCTTTAGGCTAGTCACTAACTTTCTCTTTTTGGTGCCCAAACCTCTCTAATTAAACACTCCCATTAACCCTAAGCCTTCGCCTGTGAATAGTCTTGTATAAGATGGTTTTATATCTTTTTTGGTGTTTAGAGAGCTACAAGGGTGGGGGTGAGAATCGATTCCATGATTTCCTGGAATTAGAGAGAAGCTCTAACCACTTGAGTTACACTCTCATAAGATGGTTTTATATACGTGCTCACTTCTAAGTTTTTTTTAACCAACTACCATTACTCAATTCTACATTACTTTTTGCAATAACTAGTATTACTTCCTATAGATCTTACTAGAAAAGTAGAAAGGTTATTCCCTCCGTCCCTATGTTTTCTTTTTACCCCATTTGACTTTATACGATCTTCTATATATCTCTATTTTTATAAGCATAAAAATTTGATACTTGTATTAAAATCTCATATATTATTGGAAATTTATGATCAAAATTATTAAAGTTTATTAACACCAAAAAAATAGAGACGCAAACAGTAGATTATACAAAGTCAAAAAGAACAGTCAAGCATAGCCTAATACAAGTACTCCGTACTTCGCAGGGAAACTTATTCCCAGCATAAATCTAACGCTATCAATTTTCCCCCACTTTCCCTTTTTCTCTCTGTACATCAGTGCATCAGTACATGTGTATGTGTTGCTGATAAACAGGTATTAATGGCGGACAAACCAAGTAAAGCACTGGTGCTCTATGGTTATGGCTTAGCACCTCACATCACTCCTTCTCATTCCTACATTCATGCTCTTGCATCTAAAGCTTGCTGTGGCTTCTTAGCCCTTGATGATTCCTCTCCTATTCCAGGTTTAACTTCCTTGATTATCATTCTCATTTCAATTTCTGCAATTTTTCTTTGATTTCTTTGATACCCAGAATCAATTTTGGAAATTTTGATTATTTTTATGTTTGATTTTATGTTTATTTATCAAAATTAATGATTTTGCTTTATGGGTTTTGTATGAAAAGTCAAGATATGATCGGTCACATTGCTAAATTTTATATAGTTTAGGAAAAATATAATTAGGTTGGTGTCATGGTAATTGGTCAAATGAGATTTATTGCCAAATACTTGTGTATTTAGAGCTGTTAATTGTTTTGTAATGGTGATTTTGTATTTTGCTGTAGAGAAACTGGAAGTCATTTAGTGCTTGAGCTAGATGTTATGTTTGATCAAAATTATCACTAATTGAGCTAATGATTCATGTTTTATGGTTCCTTGCCCTGTTAATTGTAATGCCTTTATCAGATTTGGTCAGTAGATTGAAAATATTATAGGGATTGATAACAGATTTGAGGAGTGCTATGAAAAACCTTGTGCATGATGTTAAACACTTTATGTCGACTGTCACTTATGATTGTTCGCTTAATTGATGCTCGAATTCTAAATAGAATTCTGAATGTTACTAGCTGCTGCAATGATCTTAACCATATAGACATTTTAGGCTCATTGAAGCTGGGTAGAATGGTTCCTGATCCTAAATATTCTATCTGGTCTTTACCTGCAATTTAAATCAATCTAAGCTCATTTTAGTCACTTTGATTCCTGTTTGTTTGTTTTTGTTTTTGTTTTTGTTTTTTTTTTTTTTTTTTTTTTTTTTTTTTTTTTTTTTTTTTGAGCAATTTCTCTTGTATGCATACTGTTTGTTAGGGTTCTTTTGTTATAAGTCAAGAAGTCATATAGTAATAATTTTTGTAATTAATGTAGATGGGTAAATGTATGGCGATCATGAAATTCCATAACCCAAACAGGGTATATGTCTAGATTTGAATATTCTTTGTAAAAAATCTCCTGTTATGTTTGGTTTTTAAAAGTAACGAATCTTGTTTGGGTAGGGTAATTTCTGTAGTGGTATAAAAAGCAATAGCTTGTATGCATCTCTCTCCTTGACTCCTTGGTTGTTGTAAAATTGAGAGTGGGGTATGCAGAGTTAATCAAATCACTATCTATCTTATATTCCAGAAGTAGAAGATGAGAAGCTTATCAGAGAACTGGCACAGCTTCTGGATGCCAATGAAGCTGTAAGTATCGCTATGTGTGGATACAAGCTTTGTTGCTGTATAGGTTCTTTCCATGTTCACATTTACTTTTTGGGTTCAGTGTGAAAAGAAGGATCTTGGATCAGAAGCCTCAAAGCAATTTCCCAGCATAGGGGATAGGTAAAAATGGTTCTATCGTGGGAATTTTTAAGAGCAACAATTCTTGTCTATAAGTATTAAAAACCCGAGTGGTTTCCCTGACAGGTTCATGGGAATGAAAGCTGATATAGTCTCTAGTAGTCCTGCTGTCAAATCCTTTGGAGAGAAGCTTGGCTTCAGTAACCTGGAAGTTCAATCGGCTGATTTTGCAGCAGATGAGTTGCTAAGAACACTTGGTTTTTTAGATGAAAATATAGCTGATGGCCATTATGATCTGGTCTTTGTTCATATTGGAGCACATGTGGGGGAAAGTACACAGAATGATCTCGACTATGCAAACAGCTTAATTGGGAGGATATTGCAAGTAGCCCAACCCGGGTCAGAAATTGCATCCCGTTTGCATTTAACTCTCATAATGAGCTACGGAGCTGTCACGGTGGATGATTCAAACTTATCACTTGTGTCCTTGCATGATGGAAATGATTCTAACCTCCAGTCCCTCTTTCCACGTCAAAGCTATACCCTGAAAGGAGTAAATCCAAGGAATGGCATCAGGTACTTGAATGTTTTGATTTGGTTTCAACCCTTTGTCTCTGTTGGTTTTGTGTCTAGTTTCCAAAACCCCAGGTTAGTTATTTAAGGGTTTGTGAGAGAGAGGGTGAAAGAAATGAAGCAGATACATATTAAACTACTTGATGGATTATTAATTTGATCTTTATAGGCACCATTGCCCGATTTTAATAGCACAATGGCAGGATGCTGTAACTCGTAAAGATATGGCACAAGAATTTTCTTTCACTGAGTTCAGAAAGGTTTGTCTCTATAACTAAATTTTCAAACGGTCCATGCGAAAGTTGCAACTGTGCAGAATTCAATTCTTCCCTTTCTGATATCTAACAAAAAATACGATGAAATGAAAAGACAGAACCGTAACTTAATTTTTGCTATCATTTCAGAATTGCGGAAACCTTGCAATAGCAGCTGATAGATTTTTGTATGAGATAGCCTTCAAACTATGGAAGGCACCCAAGTATGGAGCTTAGAGTGTGAGCTGGAGTTTAGCTGCATATGACATGGGATTCTGGAGCTGTATTGATCAAGAATGCAGTAAATCGAGCCACGCCCGAATGCCAATCTTATACTAATATCATCAGTTCATCACTGACCAGCTTCAGATTGACATTTCTGAAAAGCTGAAGCTAATTCTGACATGACAGCGAGACAGATAACTGATGCATCAACTACTTTAAACGGATCTGATGATAGCTGTAGGAGTTTCATTTGTATTTTTTTTTTGGAATGCACTGCAATCGTAACCTGATAATATGAAAAACCTCAAATTTTGTTCTTGTATTTGCAACATGCTGCTTGAAATCAAACAGACAAGAGAATAAATGTCAAAGCAAAGAGAGGTTGCTCATTTCGGTCGCAACGTTTTGCTTTCATCTCAGTTATTTCTAATTTAATTTCCCCCGCTACATATGGAACGATTTCTCTAAAAATTCTTTAATTGTAAATTAATTCTCTATCTATGTCGGTTCATAAACTTATTCCCACAATATGACCCACGTAGGATTGATTGAAGCTTTTTTTTTTATTTTTTTTTATTTATTTTAAAATTTAGGTTCAGTAAAGAATCGCTAATGGTAATAGTGGTTCTATACATATAAAACCGCAACTAATGTTAGCGATTTTTATATTAAGTTTTAACAGAGGTTTCCTAATACAAGAACTGTTAACGATGTTAGCGATTTTATAAGTAAAACAACATCTATCAATGTTAGCAGTTCTTTGTTGAACCTAAAAAAAACACATGTTCATCTATGAAATTCAAAAATAAAAAAAATCTACAAAAATTGCAATTACCGACTTAATTACCGTGTAGCTTAATCCTCAAGCTAAGGAATCATGAACTATCATTTCTATATATAATGTAATGTAGTTAGGTTCATTGATTTTTTTCCTAAATTTGTTGTTAACAAAAATTACAAATTTAAAGGCAAGTTCTTTTAGAGTGAAAATAGGAAGAATTTTAGAGTGAAGATACTTGATTGTGCTATCAATGGGGAAGGAACGAGTTAACAATGTTGTGATCGATTGTGAGCATCGTCAACCAACAACACGAAAGCCGAAAAATTGTAAAGATATGGAGATTTTCGTACGATACGATGAGTATGAGCGTTGGGTTAAGTGTGACGAACAACTAGATGAAACAACGTCGTCTTCGTATGTCAAAACTAAAATGGAGTTACTTGGGAATTATAATCCCTTAGATTGTGAATTGTGCAAAAGTTTTTTATCGAATTATCTTACATCGGTCGTGTTTCACCCTAACCCTAATCAAGTGCTACAAGACATGTTCGAGAAGGTTTCGAGTCTTCGACTTAGGCTTGCTAACTCGAAAGTGTACGAGACTGGTGTCGTCTATGAAATTGTGAACAATATTGAGAGACATTGTATGTCACGTAACAAAGAGCGGTTGATCACTTGGGTTGATTACCGGGAGCAACAACCTCAACCACGGCGCGCAATGGAGGTGGTTAAGGAAGGGGGTTTGCATACGGAGGGTGAGGGTTTTACGTGTGCTATTTGTCTCGATGGGGTTAAAATTAACGCAAAGAAGAGGAAGAGATCGAATGATGATGATCAAGAAGTGGCGCGACAAGAAGAGGAGTCGGATTATTGTGCTAATAAACGAGTAGTGAGATTAGTGTCATGTCGTCATATGTTCCACAAGGCTTGTATTGATCGATGGGTGAAGGATTGTGGTCATGATACTTGTCCTCTTTGCCGGAATCAGTTGCCGAATGCATCAAGATGTCGTTGTAATTGGGAGGTTTCTAAGAAGAGGGCTTTGGATAATTCCAAGGCTGTTAAAACTGATTATGATACACTGTGATGTGCTTAGAAGCTCTTAGATGTATCAAGTTAAACCAAGTCCATTGTTAATTGTAATATAATATGACTTGTATTGTTTTAAAGTTCCTTTGATTTCATTATTAATCATGTATTAAGGGATTTCGCGAAACTAATAAAATTGTCGTTGTTACACATAAAGATCATTTATGTGATCCCAATTAATGTACTTTATCATATACATTGCATGTATTTTTTTTTTTTATCATATTTTCATGTTCTTTTGTTATATCTTCATGTTATTTAATTTTAAATTAATAACCCGAGGAATGAATGTCAAAAATTGAAGGTGAAACTACCCTAATCTGCAGGTTTGCTATTGTGTTGTATAAAGTCTAAACACAACTCTAAATAAAATGTGTAGTCCTGGCATAATATGTGCTCACAATGACATTACTCAATAACCAGTAATCATTAGAGTGTCTTAGAGAATTACAGTTATAGGCTGATACAAAATTTCCTGCGTCTGGCAAATTCCAGACTCTTCTACAATTCTACGCTTCAACTATACAAGACTACACCTGCAGGCAGCCGGATTCACACAATCAACAACCATAACAGTCTGTTGATAAAAAAAATAATTTGCGTGTTCATTTGGGCATTAGAATTTTATCTGGCTAGCTCCTTCTGATCAAACCAACTTCATTCTAACTCGACCACTCGGTTACTCATGTCAAATATGAGGACATTCAAGCGCCACACAAGGTAACACCTAGAGTCCAAGTAACATAGTTACCACGACAGAATCCTGCACTATTTTTATGTTAGATTTGCTCAATCTAAATCTCTTGACATTTGCTCATCCAAAAAAACCAAGCAAGAGAAACACAAGTTTGGAGTTATATATGGACTATGCACAATCACAATGATCAGTGTATAAGTATAACCATCTATAACTATAAGATCAAATAGGTCATAAACCTTTTCTCAAATAATGTTCTTATCATATGCCAAGAATGTAGATTATTCCAACAACCAATAAAAACACATGATTATCCCCTTCACCCAAAACCCGAATACACATCGATCAGTCCATGTTCTTCGAGTTCCTGAACAAATTTGATTCTTTCATCCTTTCATATATGATGAGGCTAAGAACAATGGAAGTTTCTCCTTTCTTTGGCTCCAAAATTGTTCTGGCATTGCATCCTGTGTTATTAGCCGATATCAAATGGTTTTAAACAGGACCTGTTCTAAACCATTAGAATGCTTGTTCTAAATTATGTTTCAGAGATGGCTGGAATTAAAATCATGAGGAGAAATCAATGCAGAACATAAAGAGCCAGATGGAATCAATATCTGTGCAACGCTGAAATTATATATATATATATATATTCCCTTCATTTCCCTGTAAATATCCCAGCCTTGCATAAGTCTACAATTGCAACCTCTACAAATGTTCACCTGTACCATGCTGCCATTTAAAACTTACAAAAGCTTGAATTATTATTACCAAATCTCGAATCACCTAGCATTCTAGTATGTTGTTGACAACATAGGTTCCTACGACAAACCAAGCAAGAAGCATAAGAGAAAAAGATAGCAGTGCGATCAAGAAGGGCCAGCCAACCATATAAATGCCGAGGCACAGAACCGCAAGAAAAGGCAAAAAGGATCTTAAGACTGACATGCCATCCACCCATCTTCCCTTGCATAGGACCACTGCAGCAACATTAATCATGTTCCAGCTCACTGATCCACCATAGCAAAGGCGATTCAGACAGTTGGCCACAAACGAGTGGCAATTGCACGTAAAGAGATTGTATGATTTGTTCTCATAGTGACGCAAACTTGTTTCTAGAGCGTCATCCCAAGATATAGCAGTACCAAGCTCGTGATGTTTGTAGCGCTGCTCGCATTTGTGCTTTGATAGATTCTGAGGAAAGCAGCACTACAATAAACAACACAAATAGGGTTAAATGAATATATGATCATCTTCCAAGTTATTTCTTCCACACAGAGAGACAAGTAATTCCAACCAAAAAAAACAAAACAGATGCACCAATTGAATGCACAATAATATTCCATTGTCACCAAAGTATTTTTTTTTTTTTTGACGAGACATTGTCACCAATGTATAAATCAACCAAATTTCATCAAATTTTCAAACTAGTTCCAAGAGAGGGGAAAAAAAAAACACAATTAGATCTTAAAGATTATATCAGATAAAAGAAGGTTCTAGCTTCATAAAGCAACCTTAACATTGGCCTTGAAAGATTTTACCAACAGGCTGTTAATTATTACTCCTAATTTAATGTTATATCACTGCATGTCTGCAAGTAAAAAGATAAGCATATACCATTTTGAAGAAACACAACTTGCAGTATAATTTAAACAGATAACATTGTTTGAGATAACCTTTTTGCCTAAAAACAGGACATTATACATGTAAGTTGTACATAATAATAAACAAGTGGTAGAAAACAAGCAATAATCCTCTCTCAGTTGTAAGGAATTTAGTACAGTTTTAGACTTTTAGTTAAGATATAATTATAAATTCTCAATAATCCTAATTATAACACAGGAATTTACAGCCTCAAAATAATGCTGGTGGAAGCATTCAAAGTTAGCAGGGCAATACCTGTCTTCTGTCAAGTTGGTAATATCTTGCCACTGCACCAAATGCAAAATCGTTTACAGTTACCAGATTAGACCCAGAAAAGTCAAGAATAGAGCCATCCTCTCGGCATATGCCAACATGTCCAATAAAAGGTGCCAACCATGAGACAACTGGAAGTGGAGTCCAAACTAAACAACATGGGAACTTCGACTTAACTGGATCGATATCATCAAGAGGCCATAGTTCATCTAGCACGCTTACAGTTTCATCAGTGCTACCTGCTTCTAAACCCATTCCAGAAAGTGTTGCATGTATCATAAGGCTATCTTAGATGGTTTGAGAAGATGTGTAACATATCAAATATTGATTTCATACATATTCCATTGCTCCCAATGTTGATCAGCATTCCCACACGCACATTCCAACTCAGAGGCCTGAAAGAAGAAATTAAGGAGCATTTTATTTACAGTACCATTGCAGGCAGACATTTAAAAACACCAGTAAAAAAAATGGGAAGCACTTTTTCTTGAATATTTGTCAAAACCATAAACTTTATAAAGTAGTTCTTCAATTTGGAATATCTTTAGCCTTGCAAGATCTCAGCATTCAACCAATTATAACTAACGTGTAAAACTCGGACCAAAGAGTAATACATAAGTTGAAACCTCAGTATCGACTAGGGTCTTGGATAAAGCCAATATACCATAATAGACTGCTGAGAAGAGACTAAAAGAATAATCCTTCTAATGTCTGCTTTCTGTGCAAAAGGAGTCGTCTGTTTACACATTGTAAATCCACAACTCGTTTTCAAATGTAGATTACTCTAGATAACATGAAGGAGAGAACAAGGTTCAAAATCTTGCACTAATGTTTTCCTGCTATTACCTCACCCAAAAAAGACCACCTTAGTTGCTGGTATGTTAAGGAGATGTGACAAGAGAAGTGACCAGTAAGTAGAAATAGAGATCGTGTGAGTGTATGATGCCTATTGAGGAAAAATCACCACATTTCTGGAGGTTAAATTGTTAAGATACAAACCCAATACAAAGGCTCAGTATGTGGTCAAGTCCAACACTAAGGCAAACAAGGGAACATTTAGCAAATTCAAGTGAACAGAAATACTAGCATTGTACATACCAAACCACCACCACCACACACACACACACCAAATTCAAGTGAACAGCAATACTAGCATTGGATATACCAAACCACCACCACCACCACACACACACACCAAATTCAAGTGAACAGCAATACTAGCATTGTATACACCAAACCAAAAATATGTTTCAATGCTTAATTACAACCACCACCAAAAAAACAACAAAGCCTTAATCCCAATGATGTGTCAACAACTTGAACCATGATTTTATCTCCAATTAACATCAAACATGATCCCCTCTCTCCATTCCCCTCTCTCCATGTTTCAATGCTTAATATTCTATAAAAATTAAGCTTTAGAAACTATGCTGAAATGCTTATATTTGTCTTCAATCTGGGAGCATTGAGGAGGGACTTTTGCACTACACAAAAGCTTTGGGCAAGAATTTTTCCAAGACAATATTCGTCGCAGCCAAGACAAACATTTAGCAGCAACATTTTCCTTGCAATTATACTCGCCTTGGCAGCAATGAATATTGCCTTAGAAAAATCACTACCAACCACTTTTGTCAATGCAGGATTTCCCCATATCCTTTCCAATGCAAACAACCCAAATCATAAATCTCTGACACATATACAGCACAAAAAATGTGACCCTATTGTTAAATGTTCATCCTCTACTCAATTTTTTTCAAGCATCACACACTCCTTTCCAAAAACCCAGGAAAAATTAAAAATCAAATCTTTTTCCCCAATTCAGGCTACTAGATTCATTATTACAAACCCACAAAATAATACAGAAATTAGAATCCCTCCAAAAATAATATCTCAAGACTACGACATTCAAAGAAAAATAAGAAAATAGCAACAAGAATAAATCTAAACCAACCAAACAAATCAACTTAATTAAATTTCAACTAAATAAGAAAAAATAAAATTCAAAGCAAATAAAATAAAATAAAATAAGATAAAATAAATACAGCTTAAAATTAGAAGATTGAAGAGCATTATTACCAAGAAGAAGAGCATAAAAGGATGAACAGATCAGAAAATGTGTTCTATTTTCCAGTTGAAGGGTGTTGTGTTTGCTTCTGTTTTTCATGTTGCAAAAACCACCTGCCAAACCACCGCCTGCTTTCTTTTATTTCCAAAGATTTCATCTTTCCCAATAATTAAATAAATTATTTAAAATTAAAAAAAAATTAAAAAGGGGGGTGAATTTCTTCTTCAAGAAAATAGATTGGAAGTTGGAAAAACGGAAAGGTTCATGAACCTCTTTTTTCTTTATTTCTTATCTAAGTTTTGGTTGGTGGGTCCATTCCACTTTTTACTTTTTTTAGCAAAGGGGGTTGGTTCTTGTGATCATGAGTCTACTCTAGGTTGGTGAGGTGTAATGCTGAGTGTTTGACACGTGTAATTTGAGAGATATTAAGTTTTGATTAGTGCTGAGTATTTGACACGTGTCTTTTGATATGATATTAAAAGTTGATTAGTGTAGTAATTAAAGGTGAGGTTGATTGTAGAGGAAAATTAGGATTTGAAGAATGCAAATGGAAAGTGGGACCCACAAGATCTAGTCAGTAGTCATATGTTAGGATTAATGTCACTATTTGTAACTGTTACTTTTGGGTGAATTTGTGGTTTTGAGGTTTCTATGAAAAATATCTAAATTTTTTTAGTTCAGCAAATTATGGAAGTTGAAGACCTAATTAACAATGACTAATACGGTTGATTTGATGGTCCTACATCACTTAGGGATTGGAGTCGATGGTAATACTATTTGGGTATGTATCAAAGAATATTGTCAAGGTTTACTGATTTAGTGGGTAAAGTTGTATGTGAGTGGTAATTAGGATACATTCTGGAAAAATCAAACTTCCATCGAAGAGAAGCAAATGAAAGGCTTTCATAAAAATTCTCGTAGAATCGAGAATGATTGAGCATTCATGTTTTAGGATTGGTTATCTTAACACGTTAGATATATGTCATGTTGTGTCGAATATTTTGAAAGATCAATTTAGGCATAATTCAAGCTCATGTGTCATCACAATATCTAAAATAAATTTCACTTATTTTATCATATCGTGCTTTTTAATAGATATGATCTAAATACAACCCACGACCCAACATGGAATGTAACATGTCATGTCTACTCCGGTCCATGTTGTTTACACGATGGACCAAGTTGTGTCATGCCATAAGCCAATCCTACCTATTGCCATGCTTGTAAGTTTCTTCATCTAAACTTTATTTTTCATACTTGTAATGCCAGCATAAACAAAAGCTAAGGGTTGGGTTGATTTCAGCAAAAGTAGCATCCGAAATCTGAGACAAATATGGCAATAGGCTAATAAAATTGACATTTAGATAGCTAATTAAAACCATCTTCAACAGGCCAGCTAAGTTAGTATGTTCAACAGCTTCTATTATTAAAATTGACAGCTAAGTTAGTAAGTTAGCATGATTGAATAGAGAATGCTAGCAGATGGATTAACACATTGACAGAGAGCTAATATTTGTTCTCTAAAACACATTAAAACACATTTCATGGAAAACATTAGTGTTAAATTAGGAGCAACGATTATCAGATACATTTGATAAATATAACGCATGAATTCAAGTATGTACTAATTTGTGTCTGCACATATATTTATTTAATTAAGGTAAAAATAAATAGTAATTAATCAAGGTATCAATTCTTTTATTTTAATTAATAAAAGCAATGTCTACACATGTAATATCACCGTCGATAATGAAACCTCTTAAAGTTGAAAAAAACACTCAGTAACCCCTTTTCAAAGGTACATCTATAGCCCTTTTTAGACGAATACTCCCACTCCATATTAGGAATTCGAAACGCTATATCTTGGTAAGGAGGACCAGCTTGGAATCGTAATACACATGTTTCGGTGCTATCTCCATCTCTCTGAATTGAGCACGTAGGAGCCTTAGTTTTGTCAACAAGATGGGGGTAGAAAATACTGAACTTGTACCCTAGTACAGTCTTGGGAGGAGGGTTATCTCGGTCATAATGTGTCCTATTATACACGTTCCATGAGTAACCAGTATGAACCTTGACCGTGTACTTAGGCTTTCTTGGAGCATTGGAATCAACTACAACGTCGCCTTCATCCAACAAAAACACTGTCTTCATCAGAATCGATTATTATTGCATCGTCGAAGGAGTCCTCTAACTCTGGTGTACTCATGGTTTCTTGAGAGAAGTCTTTCGAGTTTTCGTGTTGGTAGTCCTTAAGAAACATCTTAGCCTTGTAAAGGGGAATCAGTCTAAGCACCGCCTCCCAATACTCAACCACATTGGCCTTCCCAGAACGCATCTCTGACTCGATCTGTGATTGTAGTGCAAGCAGCTCTTTGTAAGTACTAATCCCTTGCAAGAAGTCCCTCACATCCGTTTCGACACTCGGATGCACACCACCAACAACACATAAGTTGTCATCCTTTCTCGTAGCCTCTTCACGCATCTTCCACTCACAAATCACTAATATCGCCTCCCAAAACTCCCCCTTAACATGATGGTTAAGAAGCTCTTGAATATCATAATAAAGCTCTTCAAGTTGTCCAAGAGATAACCCTTTGAAAAGTTGATCATAATCATCAACATTAAACTCATGATGATTTACTAAGGTGAGGATGTCAATAGGCTTGGCAGCCCCTCGACGAAAGCGAATCCTGTACCTAACAAGACTCTGTTCAACAACAAACGCGTCCTCTTTCTTGACACTCAAGTCATAGTCAAGATGAGCCACAGCGGCCTTAGCTCGTTCTCTTTGTAAAAACAACTCCTCGTTTCGCCCTGCGGTCTCTGCTCTCCTCTTCTTTACCTTCTCTAGCTCGGCCAGACACTCCCTTTGCCTCTTCTTTTCGGCCTTAACATCCAATGCCGCCGTAACTCCAACACGAGACACGTCTCTCTCAATTTTTTTCCACCATAAAAACTTATCATTACTACTCTTCTTCAGCTTCTTCTTCGCCACTCTCATCATATTTTTGATTGATTTTTTTTTGTTATGAGTTTGTTTAATCTTATAATTTATTTGTTACTTTATCTCAATATATAGAATTATGAAACCGACCTAATATGTATACGATACTGTAATAGAATCCACAATCCTAATAAACAGCTAAACTGATAGATATTATATTAGGCAGGATAATATTTGTGGTAGATTCTGCATATATTTTGTATCCTTATATTTGTCGTAGATTTTGGATATAATATCTCCAATAAGGAATCCAATTGCAACATACAAAAAAACAATTAGGGGTGTTCGCGGTGCGGTTTGGATCATAAACCGCACCAAACCGTAAAAGTGCAGTTTGTAATTTTTTTAAAACTGAACCAAACCGCACTTTTAAAAAAACCACACCAAACCGAATCGCAAGATGCGGTTTGGTGCGGTGCGGTTTGTAATTTTTTTAAACCGCAACAAACCGCACTTTTAAAAAAACCACACCAAACCGAATTGCAAGATGCGGTTTAACCGTATTTTATTAAAATTATAATTATTCTTTTTAAACCAAAACTTTTATTTTATATTATAATTATTAGCTGATAATTTAAATATTAAACTATTTTTATTAACCTTTAATTAACTAATAGAAAAAAATTAGCTCATATATTTTAGTTCTTTAATATAATTTTAATGAAAATATAGTATAAAAATCGCAAACCGCATTAAAGTGCGGTTTGGTCTCAATTATTTTGGAAACCGCAAACCGCGATTTGATCATTTTAAAAAACCACACCGCAATTTTTAAACCGCAAAATTGCGGTTTGGTGCGATCTAAACCGCACTATGTACAACCCTAAAAACAATTAAGTATTTTGAGCCATTACCGATATTAAATTAGGGGAAAATCCTAGTTAATCTTCATGATTGTTAATCTAGGGTATTTATGGTATTTCAACCTATTACTATGAGGATGCAATGGCAACTTCCATGTGTTGACTTGGCCAACTATAATGACTAAGCTTCCACGTAATATTACTGATTGTTGTTTGGAGTTAACGTCATATGACATCCGTTTGTTAACGTTAAGTCTTCACCGTCAAAGACTTAACACACTCTCTCTCCTTTGTATTTGGTCAATCCTATGTTATCACAGGAAACTAGTAAAACTCACCTCCAACTCCAAACCAAGAAATGTTAGAGCACCGACTATGTTTTTGCAAAATATTTTAACACTCAAGACTTCACTTTTGCAAATTATTGGAACACACAATTACAATGGGACTATACGAATCGGGTAAAAGGAGAAATCAACGTAGATCAAGTCATGGTAAGAATGGTGGGTTTAGTTTTGTGGGTACATGATTGATTATTTTGGGATTTTGTTCTTTATTAAAAGACTGGTTAAATTAGGTGCGGTCAAATTAATTTTTGTTTTAAATTATCCTAGTGATGAAATTTGCTTGTATATTGCCGTGTTCAAGCGAAGAAGAATGAGGTTGGTTGTTCTCTAAAATTTCGCCTAATTTTCTTTGCTCTATCTATCCGATGCATTTCCTTTTTTTAATAACCTGCTTTTCTTATTAATTTGTTTTACGGAGTAATTATGTATTTTGTTCAATTTTTTACATCGTGTTTTTTTTTTTTAAGTTGGGCTACATGGGTCTGATGCGAAGACTGAAGTACTCAAGTCATACTAATTGTAATTATAAGTGTATACATTTTATTGTTGGAATTTCAAAGAGTTGATTTTGTTTATATATCAGTTATTTTTAGTCTGAAATTACCATTTTTCGCCATTGGAATGAAGCGTATAAATTAAAATTTCAAAATTAATATGAGAACAACATGATAATATTAAAGTGGAATTTTTTTTTAAGACTTGTTGTAAGGCATAAGAGGTTTGTTAAATACAACTAAACAGACCTAACATTTCAAATAACTGGTCCTTTTCCCTTAACATATTTTTACTTCGTACCACACATAACTAGAGGTATCAAAATTGAGCCGATTCAAACAAAATCATCCGTTTTGAACTGTAATCGATCCGATTTAATCCAAAAAACTCATGACCCAAACCCGATCTGTAACCGAATTAAACTCTATCCGAATTTGAATTTGACCTGATCATAATGAATGTGAATATGTACTATTGACTTTTGAGGGCCACTATGTTCAGCATAGTGGCGTACCTAGTCACACGAGCTTTAATAAAGGTTATTATGTTAACAACAATAGTTAAACATACAAATTATTAAATAGACCTGGTTATTTTATTGAAATATAGTCATTGTGACATTATAAAAAAGCTATCAATTAGTTAATTATGTACTCCATAATTGAAATTTTTTAATATACTTGTCAATCAATCAATAATTAGGGATGTCAATATTAAGTGGATATCCACTAACCCGCAATAAATAAATGGATGAAAACCCGAATTAAATGGATGAAAAGCGGGTGACGGATGAAGTGGATGATGGATCGGATCGGATATGGATGATACTTTTTTCACCCGCTAATCATCCACCCACCCGTTTAACATATATTAATTTTTTAATCTAAGAATTTTAATAATAAAATATGAAATGTGCAAGAAAATTATATGTATTTTTTTGTTGCAAATTAATTTTTCAAACAATATATTGTTATTGTTTCCTTTTTAATTAATAAAATTAATAAAACTATTGTACAAATAACCGAAAATTAAAGTTATGTGAGTTTTTTTCAACTTTAATACTCATGCATTAGTCATCCGCTCCACCCGTTTCATCCGCGGATGATGGACGGATGGATATGGATGATGGGTGAAGCGGATGATGGATGGATGTGGATGGAGCGATTAGAGTAATGGATGGATGCGGGTGAAGCTCCACCCGGTCCGAATCCGATCCATTGCATCTCTATCAATAATCAACAATACATACTAAAAGACACACAAGCAATGACACATGTCATCGCCTGGTGTGTCCAAAAATTTTTTAAATTTTTTTTATTTCTTTCCAGAAAATCTTTTATAAGTAAAGTTTAAAGAGGTTAAAAAAAATTGACTTAAATATAAATAACTTAATTTTAATAATTTAATTATTGTCTAAATTTTTTAATTATAAAAGAATTTTTTTTAAAAAAAACAATCACATCTTTAGGAAAATATCATATAGATTAGGAAAATTTGAATTTTGGTACCTCGAATATGGGGGTAATTGAATTTTAGTACCCATCTAAAATTTTATTTTAAATTGGTACCTCCAAAAGTGTAACTTTATAGGTCTTGGTACCTCCGTCCATGTTCCGTTAAGTTTTCCGTTAGTGGGGTCCATTATCTAATTATTTAATAATTTAAATTATTAAAAAAAACATTTTTAAAATAAAAAACAAAAAAAAACTTATAAAATAAAATAAAAACCACCAGCCACGCTTCCCTCCTTATTCCGGCCAACGGCGACCACCAAGCCACGGCAGCTGCCGCCGCGACTAGGCACGAAGCCCAGCCACAGCAGCTGCCGCCGCGGCCAGGCACGAAGCCCAGCCACAGCAGCTGCCGCCGCGGCCAGGCACGAAGCCGAGCCACAGCAGCTGCCGCCGCGGCCAGGCAGGGGTGCCAATAAACCCACCACCCACGAACCCAAGAACCTAGAAACCCACCACCCACGAACCTCGAAACCCACCACACCCCACCACCCACGAACCCCCGAAACCCACAACCCCACCACCCACGAACCCCTAAACCCACCACCCACAACCCACGAACCCAGAAACCCACCACCCTACCACCCACGAACCTTGAAACCCACCACCCACAACCCAGAAATTTAACCCTAAAACCCTAAAAATTGATTTGGGGGAAAGGGGGAAGGGGTGATGTCAAGGCAGCCAAGAGTGAGAAAGAGGTAGGAAATCGGCGACGGGAAAGGGAGGGGGTTTTCGATGTGGTGGTTTTCAGATTAGGTGGGTGGGGGTGGCGTCGTCGCGGGGAGGCAGGGTTGGTGGGGGGGTGGCGTCGGCGCGGGGAGGCAGGGCTGGGTGGCGGGGTACTATTATTTTTTTAAGTTTTTTTTAATTAAATGTTTTTTCTTTTTTTTTTAATAAATTAAATTATTAAATATTTAGATAATGGGACCCACTAACGGCAAAGTTAGAGAGAATGCTAACGGAGGTATTGATATCTATAGTTTAATCATTTTTGAGGTACCAATTTAAAATAAAATTTTAGATGGGTACTAAAATTCAATTACCCCCATTTTCGAGGTACCAAAATCCAAATTTTCCTATAGATTATCAACAATTCAACATAGGACCTTTAGTTGTAAAAATAAATAAATAAATAAATAAATAGGACCTTTACAAATTATTTTTGCCAAGCAAATTACTTTGATGATCAATATCTCCGTAGAAAAATCAATGACTGACTATCTATAGCTATATGCTAAATGAGAAACTAGAAATGGCACAGGTCTGCATGTCATCCTTCTGTTAAAAAAAATTCTTTTTTTTTGGGTGAATTTTTTTTAATATGTTATTCATTTATTTAATACGAGTATTATATACCACACAATAATATTTTTTTTTATATATATAGCTTTTTAATGTATGTAATTCATAATAATTTTTATTAGTTGTGTATGTAATACTCCCTAACTTTTAGAGTATTTATTTAGTATGATATAATTTTCTTTTTATTTTGTTGTAATTACAAAACTTTAATTTTATTTTGCAATTACATTTAAATTTTTATAATTCGACACAATATTAAACTAATGATAAATGGTAAAAATTACCGTGCATTACACGAGATCTAACCTAGTATAAATAATAAGTGTCAAATTATGGTAAATATATTCGTCAAAACGTCTTACTTTAGGTTGACAATAATATTACAAGTCACACAAAAAGGAAATTATGTTATAAATAAGGTTATAATGTTTAATATTTTATATGAAGTATTTATTAATCAAATTCAAATAAATAGAAATGATAGCAATATTTCTATATTTTTGTGTTTTAGATTCAAAAGTTTGATTCAATTTGAGGGTCAAATTACACGAAATGGACTAATATTACGTCACTTGCAAATGAATGGTCTATAAACCATAAACCACCACCTACCAACATTAAATGCAACATAATCAGTGGCGTATTCAGGAATTTCGAACAGTGGGTTCGAAATATTAAAAAAACGATGATTATATATCAATTAAATATTTAATACATAAGTTAAAATTTTGCGACTCAATGTCCGCATCGTCAATAGGAGACACAATATCTTCTTCTATTTGAGGATTCCAAGTCCCTAATAAACACATATTTGACAATGAGGGCAGAAAGAATCGAACCAAGACTTAGGAGGAACACGCTGATCTAACAGTGAGCTCCTTACCAATGCACCATACATACTCAACAAATTATTTGACTCACAAAAAAAATTAAAACTAGTAACAGCTCCATTGAACCCCCCTACACTACATCCGCCCATGAATATAACTTTCATCTACCAATCTACCATACATCAGTAGTTCAGTACATCAACTTAAGAATAATTTCAGACCGCAGCGCGTGCAGTCGTGCAAAGTGTTCAATACTAAGCTCATGCACAATCTTTTCTCTATATTAAACACATAGAATAATGCAAGCATTATATTCATCTAAAAACCATACTAAACTATCTTTTCTCTATATTAAACACATAGAATAATGCAAGCTATTCATCTAAAAACCATACTAAACTATCAATTACATTTTATTTTGTCAATGTGGGAAACAAACAAATAATTATAATGTTGACATCATCAAAAGTACACAACACTATAAAAGCAACACAAACTTCTCTAAAAATTCTATGTGAGATTGCTCCTACACAAATTGTTAGAAGACTATCTAGTGAAATATTACAACAATACAAACCTAACCTATGTATGCATTATGTATTTATGCCAATTAAAGGTGTGTAGGTGATACCAGACTGAACAGATAGTTCACTGCACCGATCTTCTTGCATTCAATATACACAGATGCAGGCGGATCGTGGTTGATGTCCGCAAACACGAGTGCATCTGCACCGGTGAGGATCATAATTTTTCCATATTCATTCAATAAGAACAAATCCCTACAATCTTGAACACCCAACTGGCTCCATCACATTAAAAGCCCACAGCTTAATCCATGATTCCACCCCCACCCCTCCATCTTTAAACTTCCATAACTCTAAATAACCCTCGTTATATTTCCCCCAAGCATACAAACAATCATTTATATTACACAAACCAAACCCCAAACGCCGAAGCCCATCGTCATCCCCTAAATTCGGTTTAGGCAACGGCATGATTTTGAATTCTTCTTTACCCAAATCGAACGCAAAGATGCACTTCTTAAGTGCCCCTTCCTTGCCTACAATCACACCCCAGTACTGTGTTTCCTTGATTAACTCTCCCACAAACTTACTACAAGCCCAAGGCTGTTTGTCATAATCTAGTGTTTTTTCAACATACTTATGTCTCCACTGTTTTGACCTTACAGAATAAACTGACACCACCATATCAGCGTACTGCATATCCTCCACAAAATCAATATTGATGATCTCATAATCATCCAGCAGATTAACATAACCAAAACCATATTGTATTTCTTTCTCTTCAAATTCACGGTGGTCTTTGATTTCAATGTGGGATTCAATGCAAGGATTATATACCACATAATTATTGCACCATGCCTCATTAATTGATGAAAAAAACAGACAAATTAATCCATTGCTTGAGCCCATTAAGTCTACATAATATCCCAAATTTACAATTTCATCAAACTTATTGTAAAAACCCAATTCATCAACAATATTTAAATCAACTGAATTATTTTGAACCCCAATTAATTTCTTCTCAAAAGAAAAATTAATTGCTTGAAATTTCAAATCTGTAGAATGAACAAGAACCGATCTTGGGATTGAAGAACACTTTTGTTTTTCCCCTTTTCAATCAATCAAGATCCCAAGCTAAGCATTGAACTACAATAAAGAGCTAACTAACATAATTTCCACAAAATTCAACATTAAAGCTCCATAAAAAGCATCAAAAGACCAAAAAGATAAAAGTATGACACATCATCAACTTACCTCAAAGCTAATATTACAACTCTTGACGACTACATGATTTCCCCAATCTGTTTTCAGCTGGTGCCAAGTATGCCTAAAACAAATTTGAAAGCAAAGAGAGAACAAGGAACTTTAGTAAAACATAAATATATACTGATCACTTAACACAATTAAGCACCAATTTCTCCTAAAATAGAGGTCAAAGCATAAAGGTACTCCAAAGTATGTAATATTGCAACCAGGGTTCCAAGAAGGATGTTAACTATGATTTTTCAGATACAGAACAACGTTGAGTTGAGTATTATCCATTTCTTTTCCTATTCTAAGTACAAATTTACGCCCTTAATCTTCTTTTTGTAAACACTGCATAAAACTTATGCCCTTTACACTTTTTTTGGATAGGAAGAAATGGAAGGAAAAGAAGAGAAGAGAAATGGAGGGGGACAAAATCTCTTGTTTGGGTAAAAGATTGGGGGAGGGAAGGGGAAGGAGAGGGAGGGATCCATTTTTTCTTTCTCTATAATAACCATAATCTCTCTAAAATTGGAGAGATTTGGAGGGAAAATGGAGCTCACCTCCTCCTCCCTTTCTTTTCCCTTCCCTTCCTCCATTTTCCCTCCCCTTCTTTTCCTTCCTTCTTTGCTATCCAAACAAAGCGTTACTGTCTTACGCATTAAAATGTGTAATCGAATCAAGACACTATTTCAGCCTAATAAGTCAAATATAAGGGAGCCATAGCTATTATTCAAACTGCAAAGAACTACAAGGTAACATCATATGTACTCTATATGCTCAGGTGGACCCTAATGAGTTTGAGGGAAGAACAATTCAGGCTTCAGAAACTCTTGATTTGTATGACAAAAACGCCATGATACGTAAAGTATGTGCAAAGTGAACAAAGTCTGAAAGAGGAGAAAAGGACAGTTACACTTGATCAAGATAATATTTACAAAGTGGATCCCAAACATGATGATAAGCAAATTACTAATTGGAGCACAAAATACAAACATCACTAAAGTTTTAGAATGATCTGTTTTCATGCCCCTTAGTGGAATCAAGATGATCTCAAACATGGCGTAGAAAATTAACAGTAACAAATATGGCTTACATGTTTGTTCATAAACTTTTAAGGCAGTCAAATAGTTATAATCAGAGATACTTGTTGCTTAAGGTCTAATCTAGTTATCGTCAAGTATCCCAGACTTAGCATAGCAAATCAGAAATCACAATATAATTTATACAAATATATAAATTTTAGTTGATGTTGCTTAAGATGAAGCAGGAAAAGAGGTTCCAAGATAAAATAAGGGTTTTTTTTCTTCATTAAAAATTGTAAATTCTGGTAGGGGAACTTCATTGAATATCCAGTTCTGCATAAACATGTGTTCAAGACATAATGGGAAGTGGAGCTTGACATCAAATTGGTATTAAAAATGACTAAATTATGTGAATTTAAAATAACTTAGAATGAGAAGTGGAGCTCAATTAGGCTCAAAGGTGCAACATATTAGTATTCAAAAATGACTAAATTATGTGAATTTAAAATAACTTAGAATGAGAAGTGGAGCTCAATTAGGCTCAAAGGTGCAACATATTAGTATTCAAAAATGACTGAACTATGTGATGAATTAGCTCCATCACACTTCATGCTTTATTTCATATGAACGTAAGTTGCACATGGAAATTTTTTAGCAACAAATCCGCTTGTTAATTATCTCATAACTTCAGTAAATATGACCAATATTTCAATACTTTGCCAATGAAGACCCCTAATTGGACATACAAAAGTTAAAATATGTGATAATGTGAAATTAAACCATAGACAATTGTTAGAATTATCAAATCAGGCTCCAAAAATCATACAAAGTTCTTGCTTGAGAATATCAGCGTAAATTGCACATAGAAAATTTAAGCAACAAATTAGCTTATAGTAAAAGTGCCAAATATTTCAATTATAATATGTCACTCAGCTCTTATATATCAAATTAATGATTTTTAGCCACAAAAAAAAAAAAAAAAAAAAAAAAAAATGACAGGCAAAATATTGAACCTGGTGGACAAGATTCAAAAGAATATAAAGAGAAGTAACAGCTTTACTGCCTGTTTTAGAATAGTATACCATTTATGCTCATCAATCTCAACCCAAGGATCATTGCATGTGTAAGTGAAATCCAATAGTAAAATAACCTGAACCAATAGGAATAGTCCTGCACCAAATTTTGACAGAAAACCTGCAAAATATTGAGGAATGCTAAGATAAATTTGTGAGACAGACAACACAAAAACACAATGCATGCATGTTAACTCTACACCCTGTTATCACTGGATGTACCCCTTGACAGACCATTTTCTTTTTTCTTATCCTTACACAAATGCCAAATTACATAAATCACATTTACAAAGTATAAATTACGTTCTTATTTATAAATCCTTTTTTCTTGGTCAAAACATGTAATTAGTACATAACAAAAATATTATTAAGCGGTCCCAAACAATTTCTTGATAGTCCAAAAATAAAATCTAAGATTGATTTGCCTCAAATAAGCACAAACCGAATAACAAAACTCCTTTATTTATCTAGCCTAATAATTTATGTCAATCTAATGTTTGAAAAAAATATACATTACATAAATCATAAATAACAAAATTTTAGATGATAAAGATTTCTACTATTACAAACATATACAAGTATTATTTAGCCACCCAACCACATTATAATTTAACATACTATACTGATTTATGGAATTACAAAATAACCTTATAGAGAATTGTTTAGTGAATAAAGCTTATAATTAACATAAACATATTGTTTGACTCAAAGTAAACATGCATTAAAAACTTTTATTACGTAATTTTTCAAAATTCTGTTGCTGATTATATCACAAATATGTCAAAATACTTTCATCAGAAAATACAAGTCGACTCCCAGAAGAAACAAGTACCTGAATGGTGAGGCTGAAATCCAAGACAGGATGGCTTAAACCATTTAGAATTGAAGTAAGACCTTTCCTACAAATACAGCTAAATCTGTGCACAGCAGCCACGACTGCACGTCCAACTCTATCTCAAAGTTTTTCCCCCCTGTATGAATCGTAGAGATTAGAAAACCATACTTTTCATAGCATATGATATAATGCTCAGATTATAGTTAGGAGAAGTAGAAAACATGAAATTTTCTTACTGATTAAAACTCATGATGAGGGCTTGACAAGACAGGATTCTCATTATATACAACAGAAGGCAAAACACAAGTTGAAATTTTAACCAAAAAAAAAAAAACCAAAAATCAAAGTAAACGAGTTCCGAAATATAGCAAAGAACCTGATATATTAACCTGTTTAGTTTTCAAATTATCAGTAGTACAGAGCACAGAACTAAAAATATCAAGTCTAATAGGAGTTCTCTGAGGCAACTTCAAAGTCTACTCAGAACTTCCACCTAAATTACATCAAAACCTCATAAATTATGGTTCATCTTACCCTTAACAAAAACAAAAATCGAAATCAGACAAAACAAAACAATCACACAATAACCTCACTTGCTCTTCTCTCTCTTTTTTGCTAAAAAAAATGTCAGAATAAACTCAGCAAACTATCACAATAAACTCAGCTCCTGTCATGTATGTAATCTTCATTTTTATGGGATCTTTTCATCAAGCTTCGGACAGTTTTGTTTTAAAAGATCCAAATCCATTTCCTTGCTCACATCATGGACTTTAATCTAACAAATCATGCAGCAAAATTACATTACAAAGAGTAAAACGCCTATTTCCTATTTCATCATCTTGGAACACATCAGAAAGTGTTTATTGTATGTTGCCACCATTACTATTCAAGAGTTATGAAATTTAACAAAGCACATGCATTAATTAATGCCAATAAGGTAGCTAAAAAGCCATGTGAGTACCACTCTAGAGATTTGGACGCAAATTAGACGGACATTAAATTTTTATACATTGGAACTTAGGAGCTAATTTGCATATTTTGAACCCCAATGACACAAAAGGGAGAAGACGCATAAGCAAAAGAAAAGGTACATAAGCAATTATAGTTATATATAGAAAAATCATAAGCAATTAACAGAGGAATGATTAAATGCCTTTTTTTTTTTTACCTTTGCATTACTAAACAAAACAACAATTCCTTGATCCAAGCAATTAACAGATACCATAATCAAAACCTAAACCGCTATAAAATCAAATGAACAAAACAGTAAACAAAATCAAAGCAAACCCATCAAAACAAAATGACCCAGAAAATTAAAACATCAGATCAATAAAAAAAACAATCATACCCACATAAAATTAAACCCAAATTAAATCCAAAAAACCTACCAAAACTAAAAAAGGCAGGCATAAAATTTAAGCTGAGGGAAAGTAGAACTCCGAGCTCAAACCGTAAAAGTGAGCATTAATACAGCTGATTCCCAATTTTTTGTACAAATACTCCAAAACATTGTTTTCAAAATTCTAAATCAACAGTTCGATCAGGCTTGATCTCAAGACGACGAGCTCCAATGCTACACACAGATCATCAACACACAATCAACTTCAAATTTGAAGGATTCATCTACGAAATGTCAGATCATTTCCTACTAACTCAACACAAATACACACACATTTTTAAACAAATAACAACAAAACAAAATAAAAAATAAAAAATAAAAAAAGTAAGAGAAGTCATATGATGGCGTAAAGGTAGCCATAGATAACCACCAAGAGGAGAGAGACCCTCAATGCATTACAGGTGATTAGGGGATTTTTATCCACCAAGCACCGTTTGACAAGTGGACCAACCAGGTTCCGCCACGCGTCCTCCACGGACCACTTAAGACACGCCACGTGTCCACCCATGCCAAATGGGACAACCGGCCATCAAGGCCCATTTCAGTCTAGAAGCCCGATCGGCCCTAGGTTTACCTTAAACCTAGAGAGTTGCACGCTTCCCAAGGCTATAAATACTCGATTAATCCTCATTAATCAAGGGACGGAATAATTAACAGAACAAAGGAGAAACATTACGGAACACACTAATAACCGGCTGATCTCGCTAGCAAAGCAGATTACCTACATTAAATACTCTCACCTAGAGAGACCTTATTACTTTAATTTCTGTATTAATTACTCCTTAATCAGGTACTAACTTGACCGTTGGAGGCGGAGCTCTCAGGAGTCTCCGTTATTTTGCAGGTACAGGCGTCCGGTTCCAGTCTCGGAATTGTAGCTCTCCCGCAGGACATCAGAAAACCCCAAAACATTTGGCGCCGTCTGTGGGGAGAGTACTTCAGAGATGGCATCCAAGTCTGTACCGACCCCAGAAGAGAGGCGTCCCCTAGACGACCCTCAAGTTCAGTCGGACCATGATACCGAAAGTGAATTTGAAGTTGAAACTCATACAGCTCCAGACGGGACCCTAAGGGCCCGCCGTACCCGTCATACTGAAATAAGGGAACGGGAGTATCTTCAAACAGGAAGCGAGCCAGCAGGCACACCGCTTGCTCGGCAACAGCCGACTGATGGGTCTGCTCCGATCACAAGGAACGAACTCATGACCTTCATGAGGGGATTCAAGGGAGAGATCCAAGAGTTGATCAACAAAAAACCGCCTGCTTCAGTCAAAGAGCAGGCGGCCAAAAAACCTTCCACTTCACTGAAGAGGAAGCCAGTTCAAGGGCGAGAGGCGACTCCCCATCCTAAATCTAAGAAGCGGGAGCCGTCTGCTCTTGATTTCACAAAACTCCGTTATCCTACGGGAAATAGGAAACCGGTTCGTCATATTCAGGCGGACGGGTCAAAGCAAACGTTCACAGATGCTCGGCACCTGCTAGAGCAGAAGAAGAGTGACCGATTATCAGAGTCGGCTTCTACTTCAAATTTTCAGGACAGTTTGCGAAATGCCTCGATGAGGCCAACTCAGTCGTACCATGAGAGTCAGTCAGGCGGCACCTCCCGTCAGTCTGGCTTTCATAGTGCGCAGGCGGTACCAAATTTACCATTTGTGCCGCAACAACAATATTTTATGCAGCCACCTCCATTTGGTGGACCTGCAGCAAAAAACGTCCAACCTATGGACTGGCAGCTACGGCTGCTTAGAATTGGTGAACAGCCGTCGGCCTTCTCCAAGGAAATTACTGAAGCCGCTCAGCCGGCCAAAGTAAAAAATGTTTTAGTAGGCGCCTATGATGGCACTACTAACCCGGAAGACCATCTGATGGCATTCACCAACCTGATGTACCTTCAAGGGTTGGATGATCCCACTTGGTGCAAGTGTTTCCCAGCAACTCTCAAGGGAATTGCACAGCAATGGTTCGGCAACCTGCCGACTGGTTGTGTAAACAGTTTCAGGACGCTTGCTTACTTATTTGCCTCCAACTTTGCAATGAACATCCCTGCGAAGAAAACGACCCTTGATTTGGGAACAATTCAGCAGGGTGAAAAGGAGGGGCTTCGTTCCTACATCAGGCGGTTCAACCTTATGAGAATACAGATTCAAGGGTTACCGGAAGAGGTAGCTTATACTGACTTTTTTAGAGGTCTCAAAGACGGGTCTACCTTCAAATTTGATTTAGTTCGAAAAAGGGTGGCGACTCTTCAAGAGGCCTTGATTGAAGCAGAAGCCTATATACAGGCGACTGATCTGTGTACAATGAAACAGTCGGACGGGAAGAGGTTCGACAATAGAGAAGGACGACAGAAACAGTCGTCCAACAAAGATGAAAAAAGAAAAGGGGTCTGGGCGGCTGATTCCTCTAAACAGCCGGCCAAGAAGAAAAAGGAATTCAAACCATACTCCCCAAAGTATGTGTTTAACAAGGATAACCAGTTTATCCTAAAAGAAATAAAGGGACGGCTCTCAATTGAGAAACCGCTCCCCATGAAGGGTTCTGCGAGCAACCGGAACCAAGACAAAATCTGTGCTTATCATGACGACATTGGTCATCACACCAACGACTGCATTAGTCTCATGCGGTACCTAGACCGCTTGGCTGATCAAGGTGATCTTGACACTTATGTCAAGAAATCTACGGGGAATACTTCCTCAAAAAAGCAGTCGGCCAAAAAGAATCAACAGGCCGACAGTTCCGATACAGATGATGCAGTCGTCTACACCATTGCAGGCGGCTTCTCAGGAGGCGGCCCCACTATTAGGGGCAACAAAGATAATATAAGGCGGTTAGATGTAAATTCCGTTCACCAAGAACGACCGTCCAAATATACATTTCCTGAGATTGTCATCACTGAAGAGGATCTAGGAGGAATAAGGGGGCCGCATGACGACCCTCTCGTTATTGAATGTAAAGTGGCCAACCAGAGAGTTGGTCGAATCCTCATAGATACTGGGAGCTCTTCAGATCTCATCAGCAGCAAATGTCTGTCAAAACTGAAATATCAGACGGACTGCATACATCCGGCCTCCCACCCTTTAATAGGGTTTGGAGGAGGAGTCGTCCACCCACTGGGACGAGTTGATCTACCCGTCCGCCTGGGCGAAAAAGGGGAAGGACGACACATGGTAGTCCGATTCCTAGTTGTAGAGGAACTCTCTGCCTACAACATGATTCTGGGTCGCCCAACCCTGAATAGTGCCAAGGCTGTTATAATCCCGTCACTTATGCTGCTTAAGTTTGAAAGGGACAATGGAACAGTCGGCTCCCTAAGGGGAGATCAGAGGATGGCCCGAGAGTGCTATCTCTCGGATGTCAAACCCACTGCTAAGGCCACTGGGTCAAGTGGAGAAAAAACAGACCTTGACAATGTCAAGGAAAGTGCGCCTGTTCAAGAAACAGGCGACAGAAAAAGAAAGGCGTCCCAGACAGAGTCCGCCAGAAAGGCAAGAAAATAGCAATCATTGGCAGAGGACCGGCCGGATGAGTTCCGCCCTCAGCCGGCTGGTGAGCATACGGACCTGATATTAGACGACTCCCGCCCTGACCGAACAGTCAAAGTTGGGACGACTGCTCTGAGAAACCTTGGTGATGACTTTCACAACCTGTTGAAAGAATACAAGGACATCTTTGCATTTGAAGTCCATGAAATGCCAGGCATTAGTCCTGATCTGGCAGTACACAAACTCGCTGTGGAT